AAGTTTAAACTCCTTAAGCTCTGAACTGCTCAGGGAATGAAGAATTTTCCACTTTTTTTCAGATTGTGGTGAGCCACAGCTCAGCTGTCAGGAGGGAGAGCTCATGAGGAGAACTTGAAAGCAAACTCTTGCTCTGCTTCTGTCTCTTGCTGTGGGCTCAGAAATGGTGATCTTACAGAGCTGCCTCTGCTCTGATCTGCAGTACAGAGATCTCAGCTCCTCCAAAGAAACCTGTGTGAGAGGGACAGGCAAGAGGAAAGGGCAGGAAGTTCTCCAGAGGGAGAAGAAAGGGGATCTGAAGTTGTCCAGTATGGATGTTTAGGAAAACCATCTCTGTCAGGGGCCCTGCTGCCAGTGAAAGGCAGGATTCCCTTCTCCAGATGCTTGGAGCTGCAGAGTGGCCATACTTTCTCAATTTCCATCCTTTTTTTTTGGTTTAAAACCCATTTTCTGGTCTGGGAATCTTCTGCCAAGCCACAGGGCAGGGAGGGATCTTTTCTGGGAGATGTGAAACTTCCCCAGCCACCTGTTTATGGCAGTCCCCAGGGCTTTGTCCTTGCACTCTGCTTCCTCTCCCAGCTTTGGGCTCGCACCCAGCTCCCTGTTTGCCTGTTGCTGATCCCTGGACTGTGTATTCCATGTTTCATCTTCACTTTCTGTCTTAGTCACCTGTGTGAATCTGGGGAGGAGGGTGAGCTCACACTCTTAAATCCCCAGAAAGGGAAGAGAGGGGCACTGGGAGTTGTTGGTGTGGTGGCAAAAGCTGGAGCTGTTGGTTGACACGGAGGAGCTGAGTGCAGGTGCTGAGCAGGGAGCTGGTTCCCTGTGCCTGGCTCACCTGGAGCTCCTGGGTGCTCTGTGGGACACGTGGGGTTGTGCAGTGAACTGGGCCTTTATCAGACATGGCTGAGGCTTGGGGAGCTTGGAGTGTACTCAGCATCCTGGGCAAAGTTCTTCCTGACTCCAGCAGCCTCTGGAACTCTTTGCCAGCTGCTTCCTTGTCCACATCTAACGTGACCCTTCCACTGATGGGATGGGAAGTACCACCTGCACTAGAATGGGGTGATTTAGTCCCATTTTGGAGGTCAGACTGGCCTGGTCTGTGCCATTCTTGGTCACTCCTTCTCTGGAAGGACTGGGGATCTCCATGGCTACAGTGCACAGAAGGAAAATGTCCCTTGTGAGCAGTGGAAGTGTCTGGGGTCAGAGCAGAGAGGCTGCAAAACCTTCCCACAGTGTTCAGGTCTGAATTGCCTTCAACTTCTGAGTTTTAATGTCTTGTGAGGCAGGGAGGTATTCTGTGATTCTTGAGCCACAAATGCTGCTGTAAGTGGCTCCAGAACCAGCTTTGCTGGAGGTTTAGCAGCTTATCTTTAGGAATACGTAATATCCAGCTAATGCTGTCAGTGAAGAGTGCACCTTAGGCTGTGCCTTTATCCTGCTTTTTCCAGGTGCCCCTGGGAGGCAGAGTTATCCCTGAGGCCTGGTGTGCTCTGCTGCCTGCTCCCCTCTGGAGCTGGAGCTGTGCTGGAAGTGCTGCTCTGCTCCTGGTGGATTTGGGGGGATTGTTGATCTGAGTACCTGAAGCAGGAGGGAGGACAGAGGCAGTGAAGGCCAGAAAAACCCAGCAAAGCAACACTTTGCCAGAGCAAAAAATCCCTCACCCAGTGACAGCTCTGACTTCCTGCAGAAGGCCTGGCTGAGCTCCAGGGGCTGTTGTTGTTGAGTCAGTGTGAGTCGAGGCAGCCGTGGGGACGCTCCGGGTGCTCCTGTGTGTGCTCTGTGCTGATTGCAGGGCAGCCCCTGGGACAGAGGGTGAGCCAGAGACATCCCAAATGTGGTGTAGGTGGAAGCTGGTCCCATGGCTGCAGTGGAAGGCACTGTGACTCTTTTTTGCAGGCCTCTCTTGGGGCTGCCTTTGCCTCCTTCTCCTTCCTCTCACTGTGGCAGGAGGTCCTGTGATGTGGTCGGTGTTGAGGTGATCTCCAGCTCCACATCCGTGGGCTCGTTCCATGCCTGGAGCTGTGCTGATGTGTTGGGTTACTGCTGTATCCCAAGGGGAAGAGAGGCCTCGTGGGCCTCATCTCAGGGAGGAACAATCCCGCTGTTCATCCAAACGCGTGACATTGGTGTGGGGAAAGGGAGTGTTTGTCCGTGGGATTATGCATGATCTGGGAAAGACTGGCTGTGTGGCCAGCTCATGCTCCAGCTCAGCCCTGGGGAGATCCCACACTCCCTGGGACCCCAGGGGGAGATCCCACACTC